CACACACCTCCACTTGGTGGTTCTCATGCCGACTGCCCGTGGAATCTCTCCGAGCGTTTTTGAAATGCATGTGCCTGGCTTCCCACCGATAGAAGCTGATTCCAGGGTCTAGACAAAGCCTAGACTTGAGTTGGTTTTCTTTTGTTTGTAAAGCCCCACAGATGACATGTGCAATGGCCGGAAAGCCTCGTGCTGCCAGCTCCTTGTACTTGGCAGGTAGTTGGCCATGGGGACAGAAGAGGGACCTCTGGGGAAAGGAGGTCTGGAGGGGCCGGGGACAGCACTGACTTCCTCCCAGACACACATTTTTCCTGAGAGCCGCCAGGGGTGCTCACTGAGGGCAGGGATGCGGAGTTGTTTTCGAAGTCTTGTTATTACACTTGAGACACCTTTCCCAGGTAACGTGCTATGACAGGAGGCATCAGTCATCTGGGGTATTAAGAAATGAGGCCAGGGACACCTGGGTGGCTCAGTCGGTTGAGCGCCTGACTTGATTTCGGCTCAGGTCATGATCTCACTGTTCGTGGGATCAAGCCCCATATCCGACTCTGTGCTGACAGAGTGGGGCCTGCTTGGGATTCTCGCTCTCCTTCTCTTTGCCCCTCTCCTGCTTGCACACACTCTCTCTCTCACTCAAAATAAATAAACTTAAAAAAAAAAAAGGCTGATGTCCTGACCCCACAGGATCAATACCAGCATCTGTTACTACCTCTTTATTGTTTTTCTGTTTGTTTATTTTTGAGAGAGACAGAGACAGAGTGTTAGCGGGGGATGGGCAGAGAGAGAGGGAGACACAGAATCCCAAGCAGGATCCAGGCTCCAAGCTGTCAGCACAGAGCCCGACACGGGGCTCGAACTCACGAGCCGTGAGATCGTGACCTGAGCTGAAGTCGGACGCTTAACCGACTGAGCCCCCCGGGCGCCCCAGTTACCACCCTTTTAAAAGGAGCAACACTTCTTCACAGCATCTCTAAGCTCAAATTTAAGGAAACCTAGGGCTTCTGTAGGGGATCCGAGTGAGAGTGTGTTGCTCCCCATTTGCCCTTGTCTGTGCTGAGGAAGGAAGAACTTCAGGTGCAGAGGCCACAATGAAGGACGCGCCTTCCACAGCCACCACTTCTGACAACTTAGCTGTTAAAACCGCTGCAGAATTTGCTTAAAAGCAGGAAGCACACGACAACGGCGTGCGACGCGTGGCTCTTTGATCTGGAGCGAGAGCTGGACCGGATGTACGATTCAGGAAGCTTCCACTGCCAGCGGAGCGTGGCAGCCGCCTTCCCTGTCCCGATGACAAGGGTGCAGTGGTCACCCTAGGCCCGGGCCCGGTCTCCCGAGTGCGAGCACCCCCATCGCTCAGGAGGAGCCAGGGTGCAGGGGACCCCGAAACACCCAGCCTGGACACTGAGCCCATCAGTCCCTGAGCTGTGACCTCGTTCCTGGAAGAGCTGGGGCCCCTGCTCTGCTTGTTTCTCCATCCCCTCAGCTGTTGCCACCCTCTCAGGGGAGCTGTTCCTCTTGGAGCTGTAACCCTCTCCACCCGCCCCTGACGCCCATCTTTCCCTTTTCCCGTGGTCCTCTTCCAGCGTAGATTTACTTGTTTATTGCTCGTCTCCCCCAGCCAGGACGTAAGCTCTGGGAGTTGTCTCTTGTTCCCTGATGTATCCTCTGGTACCTGGGTGTTTGATAAGCATTTTTTTTTTAAGTTTATCTATTAGAGAGAGAGCAGGGGAGGGGCAGAGAGAGAGGGAGAGGGAAGGAGAATCACAAGCAGACTCTGGACGGCCTGTGCAGAGCCCGAAGCGGGTCTCAAACTCACAAACTGAGATCGTGACCTGAGCCGAAATCCAGAGTCGGATGCTTGGCCGACCAACCAGCCACCCAGATGTCCCCATATACATTTCTTGAATGAATGAGTGAATGAGTGAGTGAATGGAGATGGATACTCACATGTTACTTTCTTAACCCCCCTCCCACCCCAATTTAAGCCCTGCTCCTCTAGGACCAGCCACCAGGGACTGAAGCCAGCGTCCGGGGCCACTGTGGCCAAGTTGATTCCCAGCCTGGCAGGGCTGTGGCCTACATGGAAGGGGGCGGGGCTGTGTCGCCCGGAGACCTACCTCTGGACGGATCCAGGGGGGACAGCGACATCCAGCGGCCATGAGAGCTCACCTGAGAATACAGGTACCTGTTACTTCGACGGGGGAAGGTCGACCTGGTTTACCTGCAGCCCCTCAGTTTTTCTCACCTCTGTCCCACCTTTCCTCTTCACCCTCTGCCCTGCCAAGGTGAGCACAGTTAGTCGAGCTGTAAAGAAACTTCTTTTGGCGAAGTAACCTGTCCGAGGTCTGTGCCTCCCTTAGAGACATGCACACAACAGGTGTGAGGGAGCCGACTGGACTACAGCAGAGCAAAAAAGGGAACGTGCGGGTGGGAAGGGCTGGGCCACCCGTCCTCTACCCTCCGTCCTCCACCACCCATGCCTCCCTACTTGAAGTTTGCAGAGCCCAGGACTTGGAACCTACTTGTTGAAACGGACGCTGACAACTGTTTTGCTAAGAAGGGTCGACAGTGTCATTGAGGAGATGTGAGCGCTCCCCCAAGGACACCGGAAGTGGCTGCAGGGGCAGAAATGAGTAAGAGGACCGGCCGTGACGGACGTGCCTGCCCCCGGCGGCACACGCTTGCTCTCTGCCCGAGCGCCCTTGCCCCGGTGGGCACCCCGCCCGGAGGCCGCTGGCACAGTGGCTCGGGCCCGGTCACCCACTGTGGTGTGAGGAGGCACCAGGAATGGCCGGCAACACTGAGGAGCAAACACCCCACACGACGGCAGATCCCGGGTGGTGAGTCGGTTCTTACCGCCCACCCTTCAGGCCGGGCTCCTTTTGCAGCAGGCTTCCCCGGGGAACTAGCCGGATGGAAGCGGTTTTAGATCAGGATGCAGGGTTACGCGGCTTGGGCTTTGACGGCTGATTCTGTAACTTACATCCGGTGGCGGCTGACAACTGAGTCGTACCTCGAAACACTACCTCAGGCTAAAGGTGCTCCTGGTCTGCCCCCCACCACCTTGTTGCTGCATGAGACAGATGTGTAGACAAATACGGAGTCAGGCCAGGAAAGCAGGCTCCCTCACCGAGAACACAGGACCCATCATCGCACCTCCTTGTACAGGAATGGATGACCACGAAATATCCCTCACTCTAGCCTCAGGGGAAAAAAAACTTCAAGTTTATTTTGAGAGCGAGCGGCAGACAGGGAGAATCCCAAGCAGGCTCCACACTGTCCGCGCAGAGCCTGACCCCTAACCGCCTGAGCCGCCAGCTCCCCCACCTGCCCCAGGCGCCCCCAGCCTCAGGAAATTTAAAATGGTCTTTTGGCTCTGAGGAGCCGATGGCATCTCACACATTATCTTTTCAAACACACAGCAGAGCTACCGTATTAGGGGTGCCAGTGAGGACAGAGAGTAAGCAAGAAAAAGCTTTCCGTGGAAATGTATTTAAATAACCAGAAGAGATATGCGGGGAAAGCTTTCCTCTTAGGATTTCCTAGTCATGGCTGGCCGTCAGAATTACTTGGAGCTCTGGGTGCCTGGGTGGCTCAGTGGGTTAAGTGTCCAACTTTGGCTCGGGTCATGATCTCATGGCTCACGAGTTCGAGCCCCGCGTCGGGCTCTGCGCTGACAGCTCAGCACCTGGAGCCTGCTTCGGATTCTGTGTCTCCTCTGCCTCTCCCCCGCTCACGCTCTGTCTCAAAAATAAACATTAAAAACAAAATTACTCAGCTTTTCAAGAACCGTGACCACGCCCCCAGCCCCATCAGGCCACATGCTCTGGAGCAGGCACCCAAGTGACGGTATCCTTGTCACCTGTTTGGGTGATTTCAGTGTGCGGTGAAGGTTGAGAATCAGTGGTCAAAACAGATACCATTTGACATCTTAAAGTGTCTTCATACTGAGTGTGACCCACACCTGTGTCGTCATAGCTGTGCACACATTCACCCCCCTCCCCCCTTCAGTCCACGGTGAATCATCCCTCGGGTGCCACTTTCCCATCTAGACGGGAGGCAGACTCTTCTGGGTAACTAGCTTATGGATTAAGCAACAAATTGATCCTCTTTCCAATTCTTTCCTTTGTTGCTGCTGACCTGAGTTCAAAAGGGCACACTCCTCCACTCCTTGGCCACTTCCTGTCAGACTTGACTGGGGTTCCGTCTCTTCCAGACTGGGAAGAACGCCAGGGGTGGTGGGGGGAAGGCCTCGCTTGCACCACTCATGGTGTCCGCTATGCCAAAGTGGCAGGTGTCACACATCCTGAAATTCAACGGTAGCACCTCCTCTGGGTGAGAAGCAGCAGCGGGCGCTTCCAGACGGGGGTTCCACCCCGTTGCCGCAGGACCAGCAGCCACCGCGAGCACGTTTCCCAGGGACTGCCTCCTGTGGCCAGCACCTTGTGCGCGCCCAGCCCCCAGCTCTGGTTCCCTCCCCGCAGGAGAGAACACACCCTCAACCCGGAGATGGGGAAAGCAAAGGCAGAGGCAAAAACTGCTCAGGAAAAGTTCTTTTATTCTGAAAAATCAATCTGAAAAGTTAACCTATTTGGATACCAAACTCTAAAGGGAAATCTCCACGCTCTCCCTGGGGAAAAAAAAAAAAAAGGAAATAAATATGCCAACATAGCAACATGGTTCCTTCCAGCAGGAAGAGGGTGGCAGAGTCCCATCTCGGACCCGTTTTTCCTACTTTATTCTCGCTAGCTTTCCAGCACAAGCATTTTTATTACCTTTACAGTCAGAAAGGAAACTAACTCTTAAAAACCAACTATTCAGAAGGGAACATCAGAATAAACCTTCTCAAATAACTTTCTCCTCTCTCATGCCAGCTTTGGGAAGGGTCTGCTCGCAAAGCGTCTGCACTTTCCCTGTGTTTCAAGGACGGACTCCCTGTTCCACACTAGACAAGGCTGAACCGCTCCAGTTTCAGAAACTCAAAAGAAGATCTGGTCTATGAAAACGTTCACTGCTCCGAGGTAAGCCTGTGTCTTGAATACAAGTGCAAACATAGTTCTGGAGAAAAACTGGTCCAATGTGTATCTTCTGTTACAGTAAACAATTCACGAGTATCCATCAGGCTCCGCCTATTGCCACTGGTCTCCGGTGTCCCCGGCCTAGCCCTCCCTCTCTGTGCACGGGGGTCCCCAGACCTGGCAGCCTTCGAGCAGCAGACAGATCTCCTCAAGGCTCCAGACCTTGGGAACTTCCTTTGTGTTCACCAAGCCGAGGCCGCTTGGGCTCCGGAGGACTGTCCTGAGGGTCCCCGGGCGTCCCTAGAACATTAACAAGCGCAGGTTGGCAAGTAAGTGAACATTTGCTTAAAATTAAGAGCTGATATTCACAAAATAAATGTTGTGCCCAGACAAGATACCAAGGGTCCTATCTGAACATAAGGGAAAGGATCCGGTGGTTTTCAACTGGGGGTGATCTCACCTGGGCAATGTGTGGGGACACTGGAGAATGTCACAAGTTGGGGCAGGGGTGGGGGGAGAAATGGGTATCGGCATTCAGAGGTGCTAAGCACCCCACACTTGCAGGACAGCCCCCACACACAGAATTATCTGACCCAGATTGTCAATAGTGCCCAGGTGGAGAACCCTGACCCTACAGCACCTCCGGAACCTGCCACCTACTCAGCTCCCTGAATGCCTGCGTGGAAAGGTACTCTCCCTGCCGAGAATAAACAGGCAGCCAGTGAATCTGAATGACGGTCCAATAAGATACATCCCTGCTTTCTCAGAACTGACTTAAAATTAGGTGGTTAATTTCCAAAAGAACAAAAGAGAAAGAATATCTTGAATTCTATTAAAATAACAGTATCACTTACCTGGTTCAGTTTCTTCTGTGGAAGGGGTGGAGATTATACTAATTGGTACAGAATTTGGTGGAGTCTCTGTCTTTAAGGGTAGTAAATTTATCCTCCTTAATTAAAAAAAAAAAAAGTAGGAAAGAGGTACAAGGTTCATTAGTATCCTAAGAATCATTTATGATGATGCAAAATTTCAAAACTACCCAAAAGAAACATTAAAAATTTTCAGCTAATCATACCATGTAGACATTAAATGTTGATGTGCCCACTTAGTAACTAAGGACTATGTTCATGTACTAAGTTCAATCATTAGGCTTATGATAGTCAATCGCTAGTCACCTAAAAGTTTCAAAACCCGTGTTTTGTTGATCTGCAGTGGTATGCTGAACACATCACTGGACACCACATATATAAGGCTAGCCGACAATGGTTTCTACTACGGAAAGCTCTGAAACACAGTTCTTGTTTAAAATCCAATCTTATTTTTCAACTTTTTTTTTAAGTTACAACAGAAGACGACTCCAAGAAATTAAGAGGGGAAAGGTTTCATAAGAGTATTTGAAAGAACACCTTCCCACTCCCTTCCTCCACCAAAAAACACAGAAAAACAAAAAAACGTTGCTAGTCTGCAGAACTCAGACACCCGAGAAGAGCCGAACGCTACATGTAATCCAGATTACAGACTGGCAAGTGAAGTCCCGGGCAGGGCAGAGGAAGCGAGACACGTGGTGCTTGTCATCTGCTCCCTCCCCAGGACTCCCACAGGGTCAGACGGGGGACTTCCAGTCCTAGGAAGACCCCTGGACCCCAGCTGCCGTGCACAACAGAAGGGCTCTGTCTGCAGCACCGGCGGGGAACTCAGGCAGGCTCAGGAGCCAGAGTGACGTGAAGAGGGACAGAGACACCTGCAGCATCACCCGGGGACACGATCAGACCAGACACTGCTTACCATGAGCCAGTCCACAGATGCAGTAAAAACTGCCTAAAGATGTTCCTTTCATTTTCCCGCCTGCTGCTCAGTGCCCATGACTGTTCTGGGCAGGAGAAAACAGGTGATGACTGGGGAACCGCTTCCTGCCTTAAGGGGCTGATAACCTAACAGGGAAAACAGAAGCCTAACCAAACTCCTGCTACTGAATGTGATATGTTATGACAGAGGAAGGGCTGCAGGAACATCCAGGGAGACTCCAGTGTCACCAGGGATGCAGATGGCTGGGGCTCCCGGAGGAAGGTAAGGGCAGAGAGGCCCCTAGGGCAGAGTGTGCTCAGGGCCCTGGCCTCCAGGGGCAAACTAGAGATTACGGTACAAAGGGTGAGGCAGGGCCAGTGGGAACGGCCCCAGAGGGCAGTCTGTGGCCAACTGTCTATAAGCCGCGCACAGGGGTCTGGAGCCGGCCTGAGAGGCAGAAGTGGGGAACGCAGCGGAGGTCACGGTTAGCAAGGTCTCCGGCAGCAGTGTGAAGTACTTATGGCATTTCCCCCATTAAAGGTTGGTGGCTTCCTGTTGGCAAACTGCACTGACGATTTCTTCTTCCATCAGAGGTTCTTACCGGGGTGTTGTCTTGCTCCAGGCCTGCAGCGTGTTCAGAGTGACCCTCCGGGATGGGGGTGCTTTGGGATTCTGCGTGCTGGGCTGCAGGGCCTTCTTCTCCTCGGAAGGCGCTGCTGGGGCTGGAGATGGTCTTGCCTGAGGTGGGGGTGTGCAGGGGCTGCTGGGGGTCCCCTCTACTAGCCTGGGGCCTGGCGAAGACCCCTGGTGTGGCTGACTCTTCGTTTTCTTTGCTGTATCGGGAGTTCCCACGCTTAAAACTGGCTTCTCTTTCAAAGGTGTTCCAAGTTCATCCTTCTCGAATGTCACAAACGAACAGTAGCCATCCGTGGAAGAAATGGCCAGGAAGGCCCCATCGCTGGACCTTTGTTCCCCAAACAGGACAAAAGGTTAGAAACCGAACCCAAGTTTATGGGCCCCTCGTCAGGCTCTCATGACTAGTGACACCATGGCAGTTCAAGCAAAATCATAGGCTTTGGGTGGTTGGTTTCCCAGGCACCGCAGTATCTCAGGACTGTCATCGAATTCACCTGGATGAAAGTGTGAGGACCTTTCCTTTTTTTGGTTTTTCTCCCCCCAAGATAAAACGAAAAGGAGAAAAAAGGCTGTAAAGAGCAAGGAAGAGACCGTGGGGGAGCAGGCCCAGGCAGAGCTGGGCACAAATCAGGAACCCAGGGGCTCGGAAGACCCCACCGGCAGGAGGCGGAGCACAAGGTGACTCCCTGGGTGCAGCTCTGGGTGCCAGGAGCTCATGGGTGCGGGCTTCCTGCAAGCCCAGAGGGCCTGGCAAGCCCCCAGCAAGCAGGGAGCCCAACGGGTACCCCCTCCCTCAGTCTGAGAATCAGAGGAACCCCTGGGGCAACTGAATGGCATCATTCAGATGTTTCTGTTACAATAGGAAGCAGTATTATTGCAAATTAGAAACGGCTTTCCTTTAAAAAGAATTGGTAAGAGGTGCCGGGGTGGCTCAGTCTGTCAAGCATCTGACTTCAGCTCAGGTCACGATCTTGATGTTCATGAGTTTGAGCCCCGCTCACATCAGGGCTCCGCTGCAGCCTGCTTGGGATTCTCTGTCTCCCGCCCCCATTTGCATGGGCATGCATGCGTGCTCGCTCTCCCTCTCTCAAAATAAATAAACTTAGAAAAAAAGTTAAAAAAAAACATTTTTTTTAGTGTTTATTTTTGAGAAAGACTGAGAGCCAGCAGGGGAGCGTGCAGAGAGAGTGAGACACAGAATCTGAAGCAGGCTCCAGGCTCTGAGCCGTCAGCACAGAGCCCGATGTGGGGCTCGAACTCACGGACCACAGATCATGACCTGAGCCAAAGTCAGATTCTTAACTAACTGAGCCACCCAGGCACCCCAGAAAAAAAATAGTTTTAAATAAACTTAAAAAAAAAAGTTAAAAAAAATAATTAAAAAAAAAGAAAAAGAATTGGTAAACACCGGCCAAAAAAGCCACCTGTAGCGCTGGAATGCTCTCTGCCCCAAGGCTCTACTCCAGGCCCACCCTCCCTCACCACCGGCCACTCACCAGGAGACATCACTCAGGGTGTGGTAATGTATGTTAGACACGTAGCCAAAAGGGAACGGCTGCTGGGTGTCATACAAGAGCACAGAGTCTTCAGAAGCCACAGCAAACACCAGGCGGTAGGGCAGGTGCACCAGCTCCGTGCCCAGCTCCTGTGACGCTCTGTCTGCTCGGGTGAAAACAGGGACAAAGGGCGGAAAACAGAAGTCAGAGGAAACAAATTCCCAAAAGCCCTCTCTCAGGAGACGGAAATGACATCATTTTACTGAAGGCTAGTTTGCTATGTGCTTTACAAAAAAAAAAAATCAGTCCTTTAATTTATATGGGAATAAAGGACAACCACATGTGACCTGATGAGGACACCGTGTCCTGATCCAAGACTCAGGGGCACCCAAGGTCCAAAAAGGTGGGGGTACAAAACAAAAAAAACTGTGAATAGAACAAGTCCTTTCTGATACGAAAAATAAGGGTAACCTAGAAACATTTTATTAAGGTGATTTCAAGCTTCCAGGTAATTACATTCATTCACATGAAAGGATTAAAAAGCTTAAAACAGCTGCTTCCAGCGTTGGAGGAAGAGGGACCTGACTTACCCTCCCACCTGAAGCAACTGAAATACCAGGCAAAATCTACAAAATAATGTTTTCCAAGACTTCTGACCATTAGGCACTGAAGACAGTGATCTCTGAGGGATGGGAAGTCAAGGAGGAAATCCTACATCCAGCTTGCTGCCTGGAGCTGCCAGGCCCGGGAGAGGGAGAGGTAGAGGATGAAGCAGGGAGGCCCGGGCAGCCGGAGTTCACAGGCACAGACCTACAGGCCCTCTCAGGTCTCCAGCTGAGCCCTGATCAGCACTTGCAAGTGAGGAAACCACCCGAGGCCAGAGCAAGAACTACAGGAAAGAGAGAGTCATTCCCGAAGCTCACGCAAGGCCAGACAGAGCGTGTTCCTCCACCCAGAGTGGGAAACCTATTTCACGGGGCACCGATTACTCAGGCAGCTCTGCTTCTGCAGTGGGGAAATTAGCTCTGGACCACATGCTGCCGTGGTCCCACTGAACGAGGATAAGCGGCACGGTGTCTCCGAGTAACTTCACTGCCTCCCAGAACAAAGCTCAAGAATATTTATGAAAATATACCCAGCATCCACGGAGGTAAAATTCACAATGTCCGGCATCTAATGAAAAATTACTAGACATGCAAAGAAAATATGACCCACAATGACAGAAAAAAAAAATCAAAACAAATCCTTTGTACACAAAGTCATTAAAAGTTATTACAAAAACTATCCTACATGTTCAAGAGGAGGAAGGATGGAGTGTGTTAAGTAGAGACATGGGACACAGAGTACAGAAAACGGAAGTACTGAGAAGGAAAAAAGCAAGCAGATCGTCAGTAAACCCGGGACTAACCTCAAATGGCCTAACACACATGTAAGTGGAGCCCCTTGTGGGCAGGAAGGGGGGTGACAGCAAAGACATTTGACACTGTAACGGCTGAAATTCCCCAAAGGTGATGAAAACTATAAACCCATAGATCTAAGAGCTCAATGAACCCCAAGCACAAGAAACCTGAGAAAATTACACCAAGGCCCATCAGAATCCGACTAACACCCCTGATAATGAGAAAAACCTTGAGGGAAAAAAAAAAACTAAAAAAAACATTTTACTGCATAGGAAACGGATACTGAACGACCTTCAATCTGCTCTGGATTAAAAAAAATTACTCTCATTCCTTTAAAGGTGAAGCGAAGACAGCATATTCTAGACAGGATGAACACTGGACAATTTTGATAACCTCGGGCTTTGCTCCTGCTCTTCACGGTAACTCAACCGCACCAAACCCACAGAGCCGTGCCCCCCACGGGAGAAAGCCCACATCACAACCCCCGCAGCCTGGTGACCTGCCTCGGCGAAGACCTAACACAACCACCGTGGCTCTAACGTACCTGTTTCCACCACCGGCCTCAACTCAAAGTAGACAGGACAGCAACGAACTGCAAGCGTCGCTTTGCCAGGACAGGGAAGGTGAGCGATGGGCCTAAAAGATCGGTCATGACCTTCTTAGAAAAGGGCACCGTTACTCACCAAAAACAAAGGGTAAACATTTCAACGATTTCTTCCACTGCATACCTTTTAAGATTCTTCCTGGAGAAAACATAGGTGGTATTTGTTACATTTTCTCCAGACTCCACACATCCAGCTGGGGAAGCAGGAAGAGAGAGAGAGAGGTGAGGTTTTATTAGACGAAAGAAGACACACTCAAGAGCATCCAACCCTGGCCTGTAAAACATTTCTCCCCATAGCCATGTGCCCTGGACAGTGTTTTTGTGACTGAGGACAAATACACACGGTCCCAGGCTGGGCTCAGCTCTTATTCCAGCTCTACCCACCTGTCACATCCCCCTGAGCGGCCCACCTGCTCGGGGGGGCTTCAGGCCCGGGCAGGAAGAACCGGGCAGGCCTCCGTCTGGGAGGCCAGTCACTTCCTGCTGGAGAAGCGCTCTCACTGTATCACCCCACTGCGTCCGCTGGATTTGAGCTTGGCTGCCAGCCAGGGCCTGCCACTAGCCCTTCCCACCAGCCTGATGCGGCCAGGAGGCTGCCGGGAGACCCAGGCCTCCACTGCACCCCCAACCCATGAAGCAGCTGACCTTGCTCTGGGGGGAGCCCATGTTTGAGCTCTTCCACACACTCACCCTGGGATGACCTTACAACCAGGCCAGACCCGGCCACAGAATGACTGTCAACCATAGAGCAGTATCTTTCCTGATACACACACACACGTCATTTCACATGTGACCGTTTCGTCTCCGCTGGGGGGTGGGGAAGGGTGGACAGAGACTCCGTCAAGTAGTCTCTTCGACTCAGCCCACCCTTGCAGCCCCACATCCGCCATCTGAACAAACCACTGTGTCCTCTTTCCTCTTTGCTCGCACAACCAACACCCAGTTACAACTCCATCGCGTATATATTCAGAGGGTGGGGCTTTTAGCCTAGTTCACAAAAACAGGATCTCGTTTATACCTTCGTTTCTGTTGCTCTGTTCGGTCAACCACCCGCGAAAGCTAACTTGGATGATGTATCTTCACTAGCTGCTCCATGTTCACTGGTATGAAAATGCCGTAATTCATCTACCCGTCTTGTTCATCGGTATTATTCTTCACGACTAGAAGCCATACTTGCAATAAATATCGTGGAAGATATACCTTTATGTACTAGGTTTTCATTTCTTAAAGACGGAGTCGAAGACGGTGGGGGGTGGGGACAGATGGGCTGAAAGGTACATGTATTTAACGGTTTCCAGACTGTTTTCTAAACTGGCTGTAACAATTCATGTTCCTGCAGCAATACCCACATTCTGCATACCCATCAGCCAGGGAGATTTGCACTTTTGTCTAGTCTGAAGAGAATAAAGAAATCCCTAATCGTAGGTCACTTTATTTTGTATTTCTCTATCACTGAGGGTCCAAACCTTTCCCTGTGGGTGAACACGTGAATTTGCTCCTCTGCAAACTGCCTTCTTGTTTCTTTCACTCATCTTTTTTTTCTGGGTTTTTCTTTTTCTCTCATCGATTTGGAAGAGCCGCTGAACGTGACACACGTAAGCTCTCTCTTTCCTGTCTCGTAAACGGTGTTTTCCAGTTCCATCACTTGCCGACTGATTTCGCTTACTGGGCCTCCACCATACAAAAGTTCACCGTCAAACGCAAACAGGCCCATCGTTCCAGAGCTTCCAGGATTCCTGTCTCCGTCTGTCTTCCCTGGCCCTAGGATGTCCTCCTACGTTTTCACCTTTTAGATTTAAGTATTGACTTCACCCGGAATTTATTTTCATATGTAAGTTAAGAGTCCAATAGAATTTTCTTCCAGACAGCTGGACACTCTAGCACCATTCACTCAATAATTCATTCTTCCCACTATATCAGATTTCCTTATCTCAGGATCTATTTCTGGATTTTCTGTTCTGGTTTACTAATCTGTTTATTCCTATACCAATAACCATATTGATTTGATAACAGTGGCACCATAGTATCTGCTGACATTTAGGAAAGTGCCTGCTCAAGTATTATTCCTATTTTTCATACTTTTAAATCTATTCTTGGGGCGCCTGGGTGGTTCAGTTGGTTAAGCGTCTCTTAGTTTTGGCTCAGTTCACAATCTCTCAGTTTCTAAGTTCAAGCCCCTCATCAGGCTCCATGCTGACTGTGTGGCGTCACCTGGGGACTCTCTCTCTCCCTCTCTCTCTGCCCCACCCCTGCTCATGCTCTCTCTCAAAAATAATAAACTTAAAAAAAATTAAATCCATTCTTCAGCATTTATTCTCCTAACAGAGCTGGCATGCTGTCCAACTAAAAGTAAACCAAAAGCCTCTAATAGGATCCTAATTGGAAATCAATGCGTATGTTAATTTTTAGAACTTGAGATCTCTATTCATTCAGAACTTGTTTTACAATCTTCAATAAGATCTTCTAGTCTTCATAAAGGCTTTGTGCCTTTATTAAATTTTTTTCCCATGTTTTGTGGGGTTTGCATTATGAATGGAATAATTTTTCTTTTTATATTTCTAAGTGCATATTCCAGTATAGAAGATTTTTAAGTATGTCATAGATAGTATCCAGCCACCTTATCAGATTTTTTTATTCTGATATTTTTAAATCTCTTGGATTTTCTAGAAACATAATCCTAACACCAAGGTTTCTTCTTTCCAATCTTTGTAATTTCATTCTCTCCTCTTCCTGCATGTATTAACACCACCAAGAATAATAATGACAAAAGCAGACATCCATCTGATACCTGATTCTAACACAATATTTTTAGAGTGGTCATTTAGTAAAGATTTGTCACTGAGTTTAGTAAGCAACTTTTTTTTTTAAATTTTTTTTTTTAATGTTTTTATTTATTTTTGGGACAGAGAGAGACAGAGCATGAACGGGGGAGGGGCAGAGAGAGAGGGAGACACAGAATCGGAAACAGGCTCTGAGCCACCAGCCCAGAGCCCGACGCGGGGCTCGAACTCACGGACCGCAAGATCGTGACCTGGCTGAAGTCGGACGCTTAACCGACTGCGCCACCCAGGCGCCCCAGTAAGCAACTTTTAATATACTTAGCAACCACCTGTTGCTGATCCTGAGACACCCCCTCCCCAGGCCAATGTCACTCCCACATGATCCCCAATGTCCTAAGGCATCACAAGTATGCATGTACAATTCACACCCTCTCAGGCCTCCTCTGCCCAACCGGGCTGGAATACTTAGCGGCCAACCTGACCTGTGCCCTCCTGTTTGGGCCAGCCCTGCATTAGGTGATCGCCTTCATACAAAAGATGGGACCCGAGCCACGGAGAGCAGAAGACATTCTTCTAAGAACACCCTGGCAATCAGTGCCCCGGCTGACACTGCTGGGCTTAACATCATGCCTTCCTATAGACAATGAACCTGTCTTGTCCTTGCTGATTCTGCGGTTTCCTCATACTCAAGTTATTCCAACCAAACTTGTCCCTGCCACAATAGACTGCTTCATTGAGAATAGAAACAATAAACCTCTTTTAGCTTTAGCACTATGACCTCTACATACATGCCTAGTGAAAAGACATTAACATTTTTTTAAGTTAAATCTAAGAGCAAAATGTCTGTCACACTAGCCTAGTGGCTCCCCAACTTCTCTGCACATCAGAACTACTTGGAAATTTTTTAAATTCCAAAACCTAGACCACACACACCCCGGACCAATCAGACCGTCTCTGGGAGTGGAACCCGGGGACCAGTGCTTCCTGAAGCTCCCCTGGAGGTTTCAATGTCTGAACAAGCTGGGGGGTCGCTATTTTAATCAGGATTCACTGAGCTGACAAGCGGCAACTGGAATCACCCACCGCTGCCATCACGCCTCAAATCGGAAGCTTGTCAAACCCACCTGGTGTGAGGAGCAAAGACCCATCAGGGGTAAAACTGAGTCTACGGAAGAATGACTTCATGCTGTCGTCGTGAAACATCCGGTAACTTCTGACCTGTGGCACACAAGTTCAAACATTAATCCAAATCTTTTTTTTTTTAATCCAAATCTTTACATTCACAATAACGGTTTACCAGTTCCTTTTTTTTTCTGTCTTTATATAGTGTCATTTATTACACTCGCGTAACAGGGGAAATATATTACAAATCAAATCACTCCAGACTGCAAGAGTGATCGCTCACAAAGATTAACTGCCCACCTGCGTTACAGAAAGTCGTATGTGCATACAGGTCTACGTGCATGTGTGTGGTTCTACAGTTATCTTTTTTTTTAAAAAAAAAATTTTTTTTTTTTTCAACGTTTATTTATTTTTGGGACAGAGAGAGAGAGCATGAACGGGGGAGGGGCAGAGAGAGAGGTAGACACAGAATCCGAAACAGGCTCCAGGCTCTGAGCCATCAGCCCAGAGCCCGACGCGGGGCTCGAACTCACGGACCGCGAGATCGTGACCTGGCTGAAGTCGGACGCTTAACCGACTGCGCCACCCAGGCGCCCCATACAGTTATCTTTTTAAAAAGCCTCCGTGAGAACACCGTGCACTGTCAAGAGCGGTGTGTCTGGACAATGAGACCGGGGAGAAAAGCAGGATGATGTGTGCGTCCACTTAGAATTTCCAACTTAATGAACACCTCTTATAAACTAGTCCGCTCTTAAACTGGTAATCCCATCTTTTCAAACCTTTCTTGAACACCTGCGTGGAACGGTTTTTGCTCCCACTCACTGCCACTGGATAAACATGAAGCATTTAAGTCTCAAGGACCCAAAGACCCAGCATTACCCTCCTGACTGTACACGAGCTCCCCATTTTGTCAGCTCGTGGCCCGCTTGGCCCCGCCAGCTGCTTGAGGCCCAGGTTTGCACCACATCCCTTTTTGGTTCCAGTGACCAACCTGCTCCCTTTTGTCTAAGTGCCTGCCTCCATGGTCTTGATTCCTCTAGGACCGCTGGCTGGGTCCCCACAGTCCTGCAGGCAGCATTCGCTCTAAACCTGCCAAGACGGCCTACTGCCCGCTGCCACCTTCCTGCGGCATAGTGCCAGGTCCCCCTCGGTCAGACGCTCGTGACTCTCCCTACACCTCAGAATCCCAGAGGCCCTGCCTACCTCAAGCCAAGCGAATCACACACGCCTGGGGGATGGGGGGCAGGCACACATGTCTCTTAATGCTTCCAGGCGACTCCACAGTGAGCTGGGGTTGGACAACTCTACCCACCATCGGCAGCTCTCCCCTGGCCCCCGGATGTCCCCATTTCCATGCAGACCAGCCCAACACACTAACTGAGCCTTGGCTGGACCTGAGGAAGCGCACGGTAGTTCAAGTGTCAGGTGCCTGAGACCAGGGACTTAGCTGTAGGACACGGAGGAGCTCGTGACTTCCTGAAGCACTGCTAACACAGAAAGTCAACACTTCATACCTCTCCTTCGGCCCCTATTCCAGACAGCATCTTTGAGACATTAAAAGCCACACGTTTCTTCTGGGTGCTGTACACCCTGAGGATCCTAAAGAAAGAAAAACATTCTGACTGATCTCTTCTAGTGAACGAAGTGTTCCACACAGAAACAATCTAGCATCAAAACTGCAGGCCGATTAGACCAGGTCAGCCTCCAAGACCATTTATGACTGTCCCACTTAACTCATTATGACAGAAGCAAACCACCCAGAGGAGGTCACTAATGAAGTGAGGAAACGGGCCAGAACTTCACTTTTTATCGAGTGTTTCAACTTGTCAAGTAAGATGCTCATCAGGCCTCGCCTTTTCAGGCCTTGACACTTGGCCCAGGGACAGTTTGTAGGACTGCAGTGACATTTCTCTTGTATCGAACAGTCTCACCCTCAGGGATTTGCAAGTCAGGAAAACACCAACAGATAAATTTGCTTCTTGCTAATTCGTATTATTCCCACTAGCTAATCAGGTCATTTCACTCCCAACTGCCAGAATAAAACATACAGATCAGAAAATAAATGTACATGGAACGTAACAGGAGATGCTTCGATTCAAAAACACTAACTCGTCCACACTGCTGGGCCGTCTGAAATCAAACATGTTATGATTAAAAGAAGTTGGAAAAATACTCAAAAGGATGACCTTGACTGATGAGTAGTACACCCACCACCTCAGATTCTTAGTTCTTTGTTCCAAGAATACGATTAAATGAATGATGCCAGTAAACACCACAACAAACCTTCTTTCGGGAAAGACGAAATATTCTATTTTTACATTAACTTAAATGGAGTCATTGAAATGACTGCAGTAGTAAACTATAATCAAAAAATGAAAGAAAGATGCCTGGCTGGCTCAGTTGGTGGGGCAGGAGACTCTTGATCTCAGGGTTGTGAGTTCAAGCCCTGCGGTGGGTGTAGAGATTACTTATAAATAAAATCTTTAAAAAAAAAAAAACAAACAAACAAACACGAAACACCCAGGGACACCTGGATGGCTCAGTCAGTTAAGCGTCCCACTCTCGATTTCGGCTCAGGTCATGATCTCATGGTTGTGAGCTTGAGCCTCACGTTAGCGCAGAACCTGCTTGAGATTCCCCCTCTCTTTCTCTCTCAAAATAAACAAACCTAAAAAAATAAATAAACAGGGGCGCCTGGGTGGCTCAGTCGGTTACGCATCCAACTTTGGCTCAGGTCACAATGTCGCAGTTCATGGGTTTCAGCCCCGTGTCAGGCTCTGTGCTGACAGCTCAGAGCCTGGAGCCTGTTTCAGATTCTGTGTTTCTCTCTCTCTCTGACCCTCCCCGGCTCATGCTCTGCCTCTCAAAAATAAATGTTAAATTTTTTTCTTTTTTAAAGGAAGAAAGGAGGAGGGAAGGAAAGGGGAAGGGGAAGGGGAAGGGAAAATTCCAACCCAACCACTAGCAACCCCTTCTTACAGAAGTCGTATTTATAAAAGACTTTTTTTAAACGGTGCCTATGAACGAGCCCCGCTTCTCTCTCTTTCTGCCTCTCACAAGATTCTCTCTCTCTGCCCCTCACAAGATTCTCTCTCTCCCTCTTTCCTTGCCTCTTGCTCACTTACAATAAACAAATGTTGTCCGTGAAATTCAAATGCAATTCAAAACTCCCTCTACATCCATTCACCCATTCAATAAAGATTTGGTAAGTACTACATATAAGGCACTTGCCCTAATTAGTTTCCACTTTCACGTTACGGTGGAAGAGTAACAGTAAAACCAAATGCTTGACATGAAACCAAGAACAAGAAGCAAAGCTAGACCGGGCTTCAGATTGGTAAATGGTGATGAAAATCCCTCTGCAGGAAATTTCAAGCCAGCAGAGAAGACAACTTGCCAAATCCTGACGTACCTGTCACAGCTCAGGGTGGCAACATACTGACCCAAGGGGTCCCAGGTTACTCCTTGGACGTAACTTTTATGTTCATTAAAGATAGAGATCTTCTGTCCTGCGAATAAAGCACATGACAGCTTTACTAAAGCCTACTGGAGCACAAGCAGAATAAAGTACAGTTTAAGTATTGCGCCCTTCATACCCTCCTGTCATTTAGCAGGCGCCGTGTCAGGCTCTTGGGGGAAAAAGGGGACTTTACATGGCCCACACTCCCCAGGAGCCTGCTGCTTTGGGTGGGGGGGGGGGGACACACCATCAAAAGGCAAGCCAGCTGAGCATGGTATAGACGGGGCAGCTAAGAGGCCACGGTGAGGGTTGGCAAGGCACGAGCTGAGGTCAGCTCTCCCTACAGGGCAGGGTGAGGGGGGCTATGAAGGAGGTTTTGTAAGCCGATCCTCGGCACACGGAACAATGGGTCACTGAGAAGTCTACAGGGTGAGGTCCAATGCCAAAACGGCAAGACGAGGACAGGAGGTATCTGACAGCGACCCTCATGTATCAGGAAAAGGTTCTGGGAATTCGAGGTGCGGCCGAGAGGAACACTCGGCTGGGAAGTGACCTGCATCGTGAAGACAAGACTGAGGGTCACAGAGGACATAGGAAGTACCACTAGTTAGGAGGGGACAGCAGGCCAGGCGGGAGGCAAGGGCCGGGCAAAGCCAGTAGTGATGGAAAAGGGACTCTATGGAAAGAGAGAAAACCAGCAGCACACAAAGATTACCCAGATAAAATGCAGAGGCAGTTACGGAACCCTGGCCATTCTTAAAAACCAACCAAACAAAAACAACTCAAATGGCTCTTCTCTGCAGAGGGGTCTACACTCCTGTGACCCTGGGACCCGCCCTCCATGTGAAATGCAGCGAGGGTGCTTCAGGCTAACTTTCCTTCCCCCTCGCCTTCTTGCCAGTGTTTTTGGGGGTCTGTGAGAGTAAGGTGGCCTGCAGCCGGGTGACAGCATCTTCTCAAACGACCCTGAGTTTTACAACAGAGGCTTTTTTTTTTTTAATTTTTTTAATGTTTATTTATTTTTGAGAGAGCGAGCGAGAGAGAGCATGAGAGGTGGAGAGGCAGAGAGAGAAAGAGACACAGAATCCGAAGCAGGCTCCAAGCTCTGAGCTGTCAGCACAGAGCCCGATGTGGGGCTCAAACTCACAGAGTGCAAGATCATGACCCGAGCCAAAGTCAGAGGCCCAAATGACTGAGTCACCCAGGTGCCCCTCTTTTTAAAGTTTATTTATTTTGAGGGAGAGAGAGCATGAGCAGGGGAGGAGCAGGAAGAGAGGGAGAAAATCCCAAGCAGGCTCTGCCCTGTGAACGCAGAACCCGACACGGGACTCGATCTCATGAACCATGAGATCATGACCTGAGCTGAAATCAAGAGTTGGGGACACTTAACCGACTGAGCCACCCAAGTGCCCCACAAGAGGCTTTTTAACCCACAACTGCTATCATTAGGTCAGTGTGTGAGTAGGGTTTTCTGAAGAGGGACTTTCTGCGGGACCTGTCCTGCCTCACAAGCAGCTCCCTGCAGGGCCTCTGCACTGGCTGCTCCCACAGGCTGGAGCCTCTTCCCTCCCGCATTCAAGTCTTGGAGCAACCTTCTCCGATCAGCCTTTCACTCTGCGGCCCCTTCCCAGCGCCATCACTACTAACACCCCGTTAGATGGCAGCCACGATCATGTAGGATATCAAGACCTGGCAACGTTCAAGGTCATTACAACTGGCTTCAGGGGGCTGCTGGGTGGACTGTCCACGCACACGGTGAAATTATCCAGGGCAATGGCCAGATGTGGGGAAGAGAAGAAGACAGGGACGCCAGCCCTCGATTCTGCCCAAGTCAGGGACTGGGTAGAACATGACAGAGGTGAGGTGAGACAGAGGGGGTCTGATTGGATGGCAGGTGGCAGGGACCTAAAGCGGACAGAGACTGTCACTGAGTGGATAAACCGGATGTGCAGGCAGCGTGGTGGGATGCCCGCTCCGCCCTGACTCCCCCACCAGGGCCCTCAGCTGGGGGAGAATCCGCAGCCTGCAAAAAGGGCAGGCAAAGCATTTCACGGCAATTTTTATAACTTCTCACGTGTCTCCTGTCTCCCCAAACAGAAAACAGGTCCTGTAAAAGTAGTGAGGTGTCCTCGGCTGTCCTCTGTCTCCTCAAACGGATGCCAGCTCCTACCTCTCCCAACACTGACCATTCAATGCCCCATCATGACGACGTGCTAAACTTCCTGAGATCCTAAGTTCTGCAAAGGCAGGCATTAGCCCTGCCCCCAACATGTCTACACCCCCAAGCATGTGGGATGGACCTTGCTTTGGCACCAGTAACTCAGAAAACCTCATACACGTGACCACTCTGAGTTGGATCCATGATACAGGAGGCTAATCCCTACCCTACTGAGCCAAATACCTATTTTAGTTCACTAAAGAAACTCTTATGCCATGAAAGGTCAAGTAGGTTAGCTTTTTAGACCCTTAGAAAGTCCTTCCCCCTGACAAGAACAGAAACGTATTGGCTACCTTTACTGACATCCCATATGATGGCCGTGTTATCCACAGAGGCAGAAGCCATTAGATTCCCGTCAGTTGCCCAGCAAATATCGTACACATCTTCCAAGTGGCCTCTACAATCCAAAGAAGAAAAAGAAAAAAACATCAAAAACTTGTAAGCAAACTCAGAGACCATACACGAGAATAGGATTTTAGGGGGGGCTCCTGGGTGGCTCAACGGACTCTTGGTTTCAGCTCAGGTCATGGTCTCACGGTTTCATGGGTTTGAGCTCCATGTTGGGCTCTGCGCTGGCAGCGTGGAGCCTCCTTGGGATTCTCTCTCTCTCTCTCTCTCTCTGCCCCTCCCCTGCTCGTACTCTGTCTCTCAAAGTTTAAAAAAATATTTAAAAAAATAGGATTTTAGAAATTTCCACTGGAACTCTATTAGCTGCAGCTATAATCTACCACCTTCAGAGGTACTTGTATCTTTGTAATTGATTCAATCTGACTAAAGAAAATTTTACAGCAGAAATAAAATCCATTTTAATCATGTTTCTAGCTTTTAAAGTGATTCTCTTCTCTCTGTCTTGTGTAAGTAAAAGGTTTAAGTACGATATAAGTCAAAATGCAGGGCGCCTGGATTGGCTCAGTCAGTAAAGCATAGGACTCTTGATCTCAGGGCTGTGAGTTCAAGCCCCATGTTGGGCATAGAGCTTACTCAAAAGAACTTTTTTTTTTTTTTAAATAAAAAAATGCATGTGAGTTTAATGCTCTCAGAGCAGTTAGATAAGGCACTCCCATCGTCCCTGTCCAAGTTACCTCAGGGTTTTTACGACAGTCCAATTCTCCTTGTTCAGCTGGGCCTCATCATCATCCTGAAAAGCAATCTGTTCTGGCTCCTTATTATCATTCACCTTCCACAACAGGATGACGGCATCTGTGGAGTGATTCAGTGAAAGATAAGCCACGCTTTTTGCATGCTCCTTCATTTCTGGGCTTTTAGGGCTTGAAGTCCTATTTATGTTGTTCAATAGACAGTATGGTCACAATGACGGACTTCTAAGAATTTCGACAGGAAAAACAGGTTTGCCTTCTGATCTAAAACTCCAGAATCTGGGGCGCCTGGGTGGCTCAGTGGGTTAAGCGTCCGACTCTTGGTTTCACCTCAGGTCGTGATCTCACGGTTCATGAGTTGGAGCCCCTCATCGGGCTCTGCACTGACAGTGCACAGCCAGCTTGGGATTCTCTCTCTCCCTTACTCTCTGCCCCTTCCCTGCTCGTGCACACTGTTCCTCTCTCTCAAATAAGATAAACCAAAAAAAAACCAACAAAAAACCAACCTCTAAAATCCTAAGGCATAACCTATGAATGGCTGAATAGGAAAAAACAAAGAGCCACAAAGAGCCACCGGCAAGGACTGGCAAATGGTTCCTGTGTAACCTTCAGCAGGACTTAGCATCTCGACTCCTCAGTCACTTGACCTGTAAAACGGGGGTAACCGCGTACCTATCTCATAGGGCTGTCTCAAGGATTAAATGAGTTAATATGCATAAAGCACTTATAACACAATGCCTTGCACAAAGTAAGCCACGGACACATCAGCTACACATACGGATGCAGCAGGTATCTTGGCCTGACGTCATCAATTGTCTGAGTGCTATAAGCCCTTGTGCTCTGACCCCAAACTCACCACCTAAGCCTGAGCACCTCTTGGCCTCCCTCTGAATGCCACTAGGACAATGAGCGCACCAGCTGTGTGGGCACACGTGTTCTCACTCCAAGTGCACCGGAATCCCAGGAGCTTGGTGGAAAGGAGATCAGCCTTGACACTGACAAGTGGACGCTCTCCACCGTTAACAGGTTTCTGGGCCCCCAAAGCCAAAGGGCTTTGCCCAACAAGTGCTGCCCTGTACACCCTCTCAGAAGACAGCCTGTCAGCCTCCCCCAGGGACAGTCCCCACTTCCCACCTTTCCCTCTGTGCACAAACACCCTGGACACCGTGGCACTGAACTTAACCAGGTGTCTTTCCTCCTCCTGCAAAGTCTGTGATTTCTGTCTTATTTTGTACTAACTTGTAGACTGTTCTGGTGTCAAAGCGTGGGAAAACGATTTACTTTTTAGTAAAACCATAAGGAAAAAGGAAGAACGAGCTAGTAAACTGCTTAGGAAAAAGTCCCAGTTTTATGGGTTTAACATTTAATATTGTGAAGATGGCAACGTATCCCAAATAAATCTACAAATTCAAGGCAATCTTTATGCCACGTAAACACAAGCAGAAAATAGGAGTCAATATATTCCCAGGAAACAAACATAATTTAGAGGATCATTCAGACAATACTGCCCCAGCGAATCAATTAATTACAAAGAGATGTGGGAAAGGCTGCGATCACTTAGATACTAAACTAGCAATCAAAGCCAGGACAGGTGTGTTGGGACTCTGACAAAATGGTGGGCACCTTCCTACTTGTCTCCACCGGGCAGCGGATCCTGGCGAAAGTTGGGGAGGGGCCATTGTCAAACAGGTCTTTTCGGGTTAAACTTACTGTCTTCCATCCCCTCGTGCTCCCCAGAACGCTATTTTACTGAGCTATCTAAATGACACACTGAGGTCAAATGACCCCTAAAATGAAAAAGTGATACAGAAGCACCTGCGTGGCTCAGGCGGTTAAGCGTCCAACTTTGGCTCAGGTCATGACCTCACCGTTTGTGAGTTTGAGCCGTGCGTCGGGTTGGGCTCTATGCTGACAGCTCGGAGCCTGGAGCCCACTTCAGATCCTGTGTCTCCCTCTCTCTCTGCCCCTCCTCCGCTCGCACTCTCTCTCTTTCAAAAATAAATGAACATTAAAAGAAAAATTTTTCTTTAATCACACCTAGCTCAAATCTCACTATTTAACGTGAGACACACAGGTATCTGGTTTCTAAGGAATTTTGAAGGATAATACTAGTACTCACCATCTCCTCCTGATGCTAAAATTTCCCCATTCGGAGAAAAACGCACGACATTGACAGCTTTGGTATGGCGGGCAAGATTGGACAAAAATTCAACAATGGCCTTTCCATCGGGTCCTTTTTCCACCTTCCAGATCTGTTGATACCAAAACATTCATTCGGGGAAACATACAGTGAGCACTTACCAATCTGTGCTTACTAAAACAACACTGTGCTTAGTTTCAGTAAGAAAATAGTTTTTCTTTTGAAACGTAAAATGGAACTTTGCTCTGAAACATAAACCAGCAACCCCATGGCTTGCTGCCCTCCCTCCTTCCTCTTTCTCCTGCAAACCGTTCCCCAACAGGAACTGGCTCAGGATTCTTAAAAATAATGAGCCTCCCGTTTACCAATCTGGGAAACATTACTCAAGGAACAAAGCTTTCTTTTGCTTTCATGGTTCACTCAAGGTCCTGAGAATTCATCCCTCTGGGCTAGATGACGGATTGGTTTGAGTTTGTTGACTTTTGTTTCAAAGAAAAGAATGGAGAATGCACCCTCAGTAGTGCTTCTCAGGGCCTTTCTCTCTCCGCCCCACTTACCCTAACCGCCGTGTCTACACCGGCCGACGCCAGTCTGTGGATCCTCCCGGCGGTGCCATGCTGGAAGTCCAGGCTATACACCGGCTCCTTGTTGTGCCAGGCTATTTCGCAGGTAATGACTTTCATCCTCCCGAGTCTTGATGGAGCAACACAAATCCGTCGGGCACCGTTCTTTACCCAAAGACAGAGGAAAGCTGAAAATCGTCGGTAATGAACTGAATATTACAGCAGGAAAGGTGTACTGAACACTTATTATGAGCCAGGAGCCCTGCTAACCATTAAAAATGCACGCTGTGGTGGGAAAGGATGTTAGTGTTGACCTCTAATGTAACACCTTGCAGGTTCACCTAAAATGCTTCGCTGAGCCGCGGCTGTTGGAAGTTTATTCTACTGCTAGGTCCGGAAAGAGCAAAATGGAACACCCAGGCAGAGGAAATCGAGGGGCCGACCCTACGGCGCGACCGCCCCCGCTTAGTGGGGGTTGGAGGGCGTTCGGGGAGAGTCAGGGGCCGGGTCGCGCGGCGGAAGGGGCTGCCCAGGGCTAGCGGCCTCCCGGGAGAAGCTGCCGGGGCAAGTGGACAGCTTGGGGGGGTCAGGGGGCTTCGAGAGACACCCACTTCCCAGGCGGCTGCGGCCGCCAGGAGGAGAGGGTCGCCCAGGGTAGAAAACCGAGGCGAGGGAACCAGAGGGGACATCCCCCCACCCCCCGCCCCGTTCCCAGGCCGCACGGGACCAAGCGCTCGGCCGGAAAGCCGAAAGCGGGCCTGGGGGGGAGGAGGCCGCACGGAGCCGGGGCGGGGAGCCGCAGAGCGCGCAAACGCACGCCGTCCGGAGCTGTGCCGGGACCCCGCGGCCCGCCCTCAGCGAGACCCTCCCGCTCTCGCTCGGCCCCGCGGGGAGACCGTGGGGACGCCGGAGCCGGCGCCAGGGAAGCAATACCTGCAGGGACGCGGTCAGTCGGCTGCACAGCCAGCTCCCGCCGCCGCTTACGCTTCTTCCCGCGCGCCACAGGCCCCGCCTCAGGGAGGGCGGGATTCTAGGTACGACCCGCCTCTTTGTAGGCGGGATTCTCGGGGAGCCCCGCCTTCGCATGGGCGGGGTTACGTGGCGCCCCGCCCTTGCTCGGGCTGCAGAGGGTGGTCCAGAGCTGCGGAGTCCTCGGAATCCCGTTGGGCCGCTGCTAATTCAGTTAATTACCTGTCCGACCGACGCATCGGTGGAAGAATAGGTGAGTTATCGACTCATTCATTCAATCATTTCTTCCCTTTTCGATTAACTCTTTTAACATTTACTGAGCATCTGCTAGACTCTGCACCCTGTGCCGGAGCTGGATAAGCAGTGGAGAGCGAAACCGACTCAGACTTACTCTCAGGGAGTTTACAGTCCGGTTAAAGGAAAAGAACGGCCCTGTACGACTGGTGGGCAGGCTATAACTCTGAGACCCGCCCAAGACCACCCCATCTGTCACTGGTATTCTTTCACGGCGAATATTTGAGAGCTGTAACCTGCATCAGGCCCTGTCTCCATCTCTGGAGTTTCAAGCAGACGGTCTTCTGGCCTCCTGTACACAAATAATTATTTTAAAAAGATAAAGTGAAAAGTGGTGTATAAGGAACAATGTGCTCTTACAGTTCTGAGGCTCAAAGGAAATTTGAAGAGGGCATTTAAAATGGGCTTCAGGTAATAGTTTTGGATGAGCAGCTCTGGGAAATGGGAATTCAAGCTAAAGAAACTCACAGTTGACAACAGAGGCATAAAGGGGGAGCAGTGGGATCCGCGATGGGAAAGCATGGATGGAGCAAAGACCCGGAAGCATTTAGACATGAATGAGCAGGTCATGTGGGCTCATGTGTCTCAAAGGCAATTTTCTCATTACAAATTAACTGGAATTCTGTGTATATTTGTCTGGGAGCTTGGTTGGGACGAGATGACAGATGGACACTCTCATGCTAACAGCAGGTTTCTGAGTCTTCAAGACCAAAGGACTTTCCAAAACGAGTGCTGCCCTGTGCAACCTTGCAGAAGACAAGGCTGCCAGCCTCCCCCAGGTGACTCTCCCACTCCCCACCCTTCCCGTCTCCGTCTCTCCCTCTCCCTTCACCCCCTCCCTGGATATCAGTGCACTAAACTTAAACAGGTTTCTAATTCCTTTAGCAAACAAAAATTGAGAATTTTGTTTTTCATATATGTTGGCTTTTAGAACGTTTTGGAGAATTCAAAGCTATCGGATCGTCCCATGCCTGGATTGCTTACATTACACTGCAATAAGCAGATGTGGTTATAAACACTTGTTAAAAACATAATTTAACATTTTCAAATAATGTTGTAAATCAGAAGGCAGAAATAGATGCAGCAGGCCTTTTGAAATGGGATGATTTTCCAAATGGGACAATTTATCTGTGAGCTTCTGAGAAGGCCAGGAAACAAATACCTTGGGATGCATAGCTCTTACTTGATAAAAGGAACACACAGGTTCATCTGAGGAGCCAACTCTTCTGTTTTCAGGAAAAAGAATAATGTGGATTCTTATATAAATGCTGGTTGATGCTTTTAGCCAATTTTATGAAAGGTATAGAAATTGTCACGATGTCTCATGTTGACAGGAATGACTGGAGGCTCCTTAAGCCTGATTTCTACGAGAAGCTAGGATAATGTAATCCAGATATGTAGTTTTAGATCCTGTCTCCTAAATCATTGCTGGGATTCAGAGAACTTGGACTGGGAATGGCTAATATGTACTTTAGCTTTTCTGGCTGTTTTAAAAGTACAGATTCCTGGCCCTACCTAAGCCCACTGATTCAGAGTATCCAGCAGAGGGGCACTCTGGGGAGTTGGGGGTGGTGCATTTTCTCAAGATCCCAGGTGAGTCTGGTAATCAGTCTGGTTTGGACATCAGTGGTTCAGTGTCTCTCATAACCATCAGGTTTCTTCACATTTCTGACAAATGTTTTTGATTCACAAAGGAACCCCGATTATCTCCTAACATGCCAGGCTTCTAGACTACAGAGTGTGTACACACACACACACACACACACACACACACACACACACACACACACACACACACACACACACACACACACACACACACACACACACACAGGTTTATGTACTAAATATACATCAAAGAGTTGGTTTTCTTGGTGGAAATTTTTGGGGCTTGGCATTGTTGCCTGCCAGAGTGGGGATCTGAGATGTGTCAAATGTTTTCAAAAAAGAAAGGAAAGAAGGAGGGGAGAAAGCAGTGAGAGAGGGAGGGAGGGAGGAAGCAAGGAAAGTGTTTGATGGAGGCCTCAGTGTTTTGCACCAAGTTGGGCTGCAGGTGATTCCAACTAGATGCTTCAACAACTACTGAACTTCACTTTGGGCCCTAAGCATTGATTTTAGCACACTGCATAACTCTTAAAGGAAGGGGACCACAGTTATTTGGTCTCCCAAGAACTTTATATAGCGAAAATTTATATAAAGGGAATAAATCTTTTTTTTTTTTTAAGTTTGTTTATTTATTTTGCAAGAGCAGGAGGGGGAGGAAGGGGGCGGAGAGAGAATCCCAAGCAGGCTCCACACTGTCGGCACACAGCCAGACTCAGGGCTCGATCCCAAAAACTGTTAGATCATGACCTGAGCCAAAATCAAGAGTCAAACGCCTAACAGAGCCACCCAGGCAACCCTAAAGGGAGTAAATCTTAATCTGCCCTCAAAAACAAAGACTTCTCTGAATGTACTTTACTATCATTCCCTTTTCTAAATACAAATACTCTGGAATAAAAATCTAAAGTCAGAGGATGGTCTAATAAAACATTATTAAATGATAGGAAATAGAAGTGCACTAAAATTTAACATCAGAAATTGAAAGTTCAATGCAGGGTTAGGAAAAGATATTAAGCATATTTTATCAGAATAAAAAGAGGAAAACTAGAAAAGGAGAGAGAAATTGAATGCACAGAACCTCTAGCACACTGCTAGTGGAAGTGTAAAATGATACAAAGGGCTGTAGAATGAATGTGTACCCCCACCCCCTGCCAAAATTCGTATGTTGCAGCCTTAATCCCCAATGTGGTGTCTACATTTGGGAGTTTAAGGAGGTAAGAAGGTTTAGATGAGGTCATGGAGGTGGAGCCCCCATCATGGGATTGGTGAGAGCTCAGGCATGCCCACTCCTACTCTCTCCCCTCCCCACCCCCACCCTATCCCAGGTCTCCATCACAGAGGACACAGCCATCTGCAGACTGGGAAGAGTGCCCTCACAATACACCAGATCTGCTGGTGCCTTGATTTTAGAATTCCTCACCTCCAGAACTGTGAGAAATAAATGTTTGTTATTTAAGCCACCCAGTCCATGGTATCTTTGTTATATTAGCCTGAACCAAGATACAAATACTTTAGGACACTGTTCAGTAATTTAACTCAAAGATATGTCTTGGGTGCCTGGGTGGGTCAGCTGGTTAAGTGTCCAACTTTGGCTCAGGTCATGATCTCACCGCTAGTGGGTTAGAGCCCCACGTCGGGCTCTGTGTTGACAGCTCAGAGCCTGGAGCCTGCTTCAGATTCTCTCTGCCCTCTCTCTCTCTCTCTGCCCTTCCCCCACTCATGCTCTGTCTCTCAAAAATGAATAAATGTTAAAAAAAATAAAGGGGTGACTGGGGGACTCAGTCAGTTAAGCGGCCAACTTTGGCTCAGGTCGTGATCTCACAGTTCATGGATTTGTGCCCTGTGTCAGGCTCTGTGTTGACAGCTCAGCCTGGAGCCTGCTTCAGATTCTCTCTCTCTCTCTCTCTCTCTCTCTCTCTCTCTGCTCCTCCCCTACTAGCGCTCTGTCTCTCAAAAATAAATATTTTAAAAAAGTAATTAATTAAAAAAAAAGTCAAAGACAGGTCTACCCTGTGGCCCAGCAATTCCACTCTTGGTGTATATGTAAGAAACAATGAAAGCAGACTTGCAGGAGAATGTTTATAGCAGCTTTGTTCATAATGGCCCAAACTGGAAAGATACCAAATATCCATCAATTGAAAAAAAAGGTAAAAAACTGTGCGATATTCACACAATAGAATTCTATTCAGAGACCAAAAGGAAATACTGCAGCATCATGGATGAAGAAGCATTATGATAAGCACAAGAAGGAATTA